CGCCTCTGAAATTCTGCGGACGCTGCCGCAAAGCCCATCCGGAGGAGGAGTTTTCCCGAGAACAACTGCGACTCGGGAACCCATGGAGCCGCATTTGCAGAGGTCGCGAGCGGAGATATCAAATTTGCTCCGACTTTTGGTACGATTACATTGAAATCAGCGAACTTCAAGTCAACGGCAAAGGTGTAAAATGCGGCTATTTTCACTTGGACCACAACCCTTGCCTAAAGTTCCAAAATTGCTCCTGCCGTGAGCCCGTCTGTACGGATTTCAGACGCCAGGGATCGAGGTATCGCCACGTCTCCAAATTCCAATTACGTGGCTGGCCCTGCAAAGACCCCATCTTCATCTGTCCACATACCACGCTCCAGCCCACGGACCTTGCGCTGATGAAGTCGAAAAATGCGAGCCTCAAAAAGAATTTCGACTCGTCGGGCTCTGAAATAATCGTCGGAGAGTGCAAATATTCGCAATGTGGAGCGCATTTTCGACTTGAGCCGGGATTCTGTATTAGCTTTTTCGAGCCCGAACCGAACGACCTTTACATAACGAGGTTGAAAATCCAAGCCAACCATTATTTCGAATCGCCAACTCATCCCGAGTGGCTGGCAAAGACTGTGCCAGTCAAAATCGAACAGATTACAAAGTCCGAATTTCGCAACAGGTTTTTGGGGTCGAATTCAGCCGAAAGAGATGGAGATCAAAGATCTCTCGTTTCCCACTCCTGTGGATGACCGCATCTCTACTAAGCGTCTCGAAAGACGGAACCGAGCCAATCAACCAAAAGCCCTCAAAAGTACCTGGAGAATAAACCCCATCCCAATCAGAGCCAAAACGTCGACGCAGAATGTCCACAACTGGTCTCCCCATCCCGCTCCACCTCCTTCGCCTACTCCAACGGCATGGCCGAGATTTCCATTGGAAACAGGAAGCGTGGCTCCATTTGCACCGCCGATGGAGAATTCGCACTTGTAGTTGATCGGCACGTGGTCGCTCAATTGGATTGGCACGGCGACGTGGTCCTCGATGGTTGAGACTACGGGCTTGACCGCCGCCGCTGCTGCGAGCGCTGGGGTAAGGAAGGCGAGAAGAAGGACGTTGAATTTGGTTGAAGTGGTCATTTTGTTTCGCGATTGAAGACTTTTCGTGAGGGCGAGGAGTTGGATAAGAAATTCGTTTGTTCAATGGAGTGTTGGGGGTTGCGTTTTGATGTAATTGATGAGGCGATGCGAGTGTTGTGCATATTGAGCTTTGGCAGACGAAGCTGCGGTCTTATGTTTTAATAGCCCTCTCAGTGGATCAATTGGTGAAGCTGAGAAAAGGGGAAGCGAGAGACAGAACAAAAGACATGGTGTCTGGAGTTATCAAGTCAGACAGACAATTAGGCGTAGTATAAAAGCTTTCCGTTTCAACAGCTGCCGCATTGCTGCATCTGTCTGTTTTTCCGCATAAGGTCTTGAAGTATAAAATGTCATTAGTCCATGCCAAGTTTTGACACTGTCCTTTTTCCCCGCGCCATGCTCTAATTGTTCTTGGATCATAATCTTCCACTTTAAGAGGGCAGGGGCAGGGAACCGCGTCGAGCTCGCCACTGCCGGCACGGCATTCGTTACTGGGTGCTTTTGTGGGCTTAGTCTTTCGCATATGTAAAGAGAGATGATGAGATAAGCATGAACCAGGCTGATAGAGAGGACTGAGGCTTTGATTTCGGATCCCATATATACTGTTCGGCGAGAAAATGACGTTTGGTCCAATCGAAGTCTTTTTTTTACATTGGACTGATTCTGTGGGAAAGGTAGACCTGCTTCGCAGAATGATCAATTGCAGAACAGGGTTGGCTTGCGTTGGTTTGGTGGACTATGAAGGAGTTTCACAACGGGACAGATGAATAGACAAGGCCACATAGAAGTAGTCACGTAAATAGAAAAAGGGAATGAGAATCAATACGGGTAGACTTGAGGAGTCGTTCATTTGAGCAGACTGAACAGTCTAGCTTGTTCGGTCTGCGGTGTCGGTGATTGTTTGCTGTGGAGAGCCGAGTCGGTCGTTGATGGCGGAAGAGCTCCTTGGATTGTCCTTGTCCCTGTGCGTGAGACGAAGTCTACATGTAGTAGCGTGCCTGTAAATATCGTTATGAAGCTTTGGTGCTCCTCCGCAGGTCCAAGAGCGCGATCTTCTGCTAAGGAGGCGAAGGAATTTTCAGACGATATAAATACTTCCCCGAATACAATAAACGCCTGGGCCGAAGACATATCAGGTCAGCCCGTGTAGGGTTGAGATGTTGTAAGCTCCGCAGCAGCCCCAACACGGCGAGGTATCAGAGTTAGGTGTGCTCGTCTTTGGTGTTGCCTCTCACAGGGAGCGAATGGCACACGTGGAGCGGCCATGACTAAATGTCCCTGGGGGCCGAGGGGCATGCGGCCGCTGGTTCGGAGTCCGACACACGAACTACAGCTGACCTGACAGCTGTTACCGCCCAGCAGAGGGAATGCAGGGCACGCCTAGGTAAGCGGCGCCGCTAGGCTGCTTGCTACTTAAGACGTCGCCGGCCATGGAACTCTTTGTCCATATTTCCTCTTGCTGCATTGCTCGTTGTCCTGGTCATCTTTGTCGGATGCACGGCTGCGACGGCGACTGAAAGAGATACTACGACAACTGCCGCCATTGCCTCGACCAGGACGAAGCTTTACAAGTCGTCTCTCTTCCTCGTCTTTTCAGCCGCATAGGCAACATCAATCTGCTGTATAACCACCGAATCACCAATTGCGAATCGACGTACCATTTCTCAGAAGCATTCTTCTGAAAACAGTCCAAGAACTGCTTCAATCCACACGATCTTCTTCAATTGAAGCCACCATGGTTACCGCAACCACGTCTGAATCGGAGCTGCACCTGCCGCGGATACTGTGTCTTCATGGTGAGTGGAAGCAATTTGGTCTCTTGAAAGGCGCCGATTTGAGGGCCGATCAGCTCCCCAGCTGTTGGCCCCACGTCCACCCCAGATCAGCAGCTCCGAATTCCCCACCACATCCACAGCGCTCGCCATGACCCTATCTTTTCCACCTGTCACTGCAGCTCGAAGATGAAGACCTTGACAGCGTCGCTAACTATGTGTACTCAGGCGGCGGTGTAACAGCCGAAATCTTTCGTCTCCAAGCTCGCGCCGTCCTCAACCGCCTTCGCACATCATTCCGGCTCGTCTTTGCCGACGGTCCCTTTCTCTGCTCGGCTGGACCGGGCATCGTGCCCGTCTACGCCGACCTAGGCCCCTACCGCCGCTGGCTGCGCTGGCTACCCCACGAACATCCCGAGGTCGATGCAGGCTCAGCCGTTGAGGAGGTGCGATACCAGATGGAAGCAGCCATGACCGAGGACAACCAGCTGGGTGCTGACGGCCCGTGGGTGGGCGTCATGGGCTTTAGCCAGGGCGCCAAGGTCGCGGCTAGCCTGCTGTTTGAGTCGCAACGGCGAAAGGCGATAAAGGCGCGGGGCGGCGGAGCACAAGAGATCAAGGGCTTTGAGGCAGAGGGTGATGAGACCATGCTGTGGGAGCAGGATTGGCGATTTGGTGTCTTGATGGCCGGACGAGCGCCACTGGTTTCGCTTGCTCCCGGTGCTGAGTGCGAGTGGTTTCAAAATGCAGGCGAGTGTGATGATGGCACCAAGGGCCTGGTCGAAGTACCCAAGGAGTGGCAGCTCACAATCCCTACTTTACACGTGCACGGCTTGAAGGACAATGGTCTGCACTTGCACAGGCGGCTCAGCGAAAGGTATTGCCCCAAGGATCGGAGGGTCGTTGTCGAATGGGACGGTGACCACCGCGTACCGATCAAGACGAAGGACGTCGAGTTACTCTGCGAGGGCCTGGTCGAGGTGGCGAGGATGGGAGGTGTGGAGCCTGGCTTTGGCATTACCAACAAGTGAAGCTGAGGAGGATTCGGGAGCATTTCGATTTCCGAGCGGGTAGAGTAAGTCGGCTTGGGAGATATCCATTAGAGGCAGTCATCCGTTGATTATCCATAGAATCCTTTTTTAGACACCCTAAAATCAGCTCCTTTGATGAACAGGAAGGCGTTTTGGTCTCTATCGCAACTAGCGCTTGGTCTGACTTTTTACTGGAGTGGTAGAGTGCTCCTCAGGCATGGAGCTTCGTTTCTGGACTCCTTCACTCGACCTATTCTTAGAGCCCGACTAAAAGATCCATCTGCAGTAGTGTGGGGTGTAGATGGAAGTGGAGGTCTGGGCGCTCCGGCGCAGGCACCTTTGATGTCATCAGAGTAGATATATGTAGGCGCGTCTTCTGGTGCGCGTCGTCCAAAGCACAACAATCTTCATGGCCTTCACTAAGTATATATAAAGCCACAAAGATAAGCCATGAGCTCCTTGTCGAGCAAGCTCACTTGCGAGAACCTACGCATCAAGCTTGGTAATCAATGCCCAAAATGAATCTCTTTCTAAACAAAAAATGCTGAAATTGCATCTAGCCAATCATCACCGAGACCTTACAAGCCTCAGGATACTAAGCTAAGTACTTATGAGCGCATCTCAGCACCACCTCTCTGGGGCTAGTCTACCTACTGGAGTGCCACAACGTCACTCGCATCCCTTGCCTCAACGGTCTCCCCACGCCAACACTTGCATCGACGCATCGCACATCGAGCGCTGACAAGCTAACAGCATGGATGGATGATCTTCGATTCTCAATTCCCAGCAGGAGCAGCTCGAAAACGCTGCACATGGCTCCCCGCTAACAACCAACGATGAAAACAGTTTGATCACGCACAACGCCCACACTGCAGCCCAGCACTCGCAATTCGACAAAAGACAAGTCCAACGTATCCCCGAGACGTCCAGAAGCTTCATACGCGCCGGCCCGAAGTATCCCACCGGTTTTCGGGCCGTCAAAATCTCGCTCCACCACCACACCTCCCAGGCCACCCCATGACCAAAACAACAACCCACAAAGCATCTACAACGTCCTTAAGGACTGCAAAAGGTAATGCGTCGGCCGGGAATCGAACCCGGGGCTGATCGAGCTTGAAATCGTGAAGTCCTTGATGTTGGGGATGAAATCCTTAATAATCTTTTCAGATTCGAATGGCAACGATCAATTTTACCACTAAACCACCAACGCTGTTGTTGTTGCTTGTTGATGAAAGAAGGCTTGCTAGCAGCTGTTATATTTTCATGTAACATTGGCTTCTATGACCGAACTTTTTTGCAAAAAAAATCTCCCCTTTTTTTCCCTTCTTTGGTTTCCAAATTTTTTTGCTTCGATACTCCTTTATGTGGCTGCCGAAAAGAATGTCAATCATGAACTACCAGGGAGATCAATCGCTTTAGTTCAAAGTAGGGGCGCCTTCGCATTTTCCTTCGTCCATGGGCTCACACTGACGGGTAAGCACCGGTTTCAGGACCAGCTCGACGTCGACGAAAAGTCTAGAAGCGCCGATTTCATCGGTTTTGAATTCCAAGATTCCAATTCAGGCCCGTAGATTCCAGGCGAACCAAGTGGAAAGGGAAAATTTGGCAAATGACGGCTACCTGCATGTGCAGGTTTCGGATGGCCACTCGCGGATCAAGTAGATCGTGCGGGAATCTCGTCGACCGGCTTGCCTTCTAGGCAAGCGTCTGAGTCGATGGAGAGAAGCCCAAGCGAGCGGTGATAGTGGCTGAAGTGCAACGTCTCTCCCTTGTTTTCTGGCCTGTTTTCTTTCGGCTGTCTTGTTTGTTTCTCCCACATGCGCTTCTGGTCGCTTCTCCTCTCTCTCTTCACCTTCAAACAAATCATCTTCCAGAACGAGCACCCCCATAATGTACCGACCAGTCAGCACTGATAACACCAAATCTTCTCTCCTGCTTACGGCCACTCGAAAGCGATTCATCCACCTCATTTGCTCGCTCACTGATTTGGCAATACCATCTGTCGCCAAGAAGCATCATGAGACTCACAACTAAAGCCAGAGCAATCTCTCTGGCTGCCCTCGTGTATGCAACACCGACAGTTCTCGCTCATTGCCACTGTCCATACAAAATCCAGGATTTCTTCGAGGTTATCAACACGGACGACGGCCCTCGGACGTATGCCCGGAAGCCGGCTCTTTGGGATGAGCATCCCCAGAAATGCTGCAAAGTAGAGCTCGACATTGCTTGGATGCTCGTGGTGACGAATTGGCCCGGGGAGCAGCAGCGCAGAATGGACAACTCGTACGACTCAGAGCCACCAAAAGCTTGGTACCAGGCATTTTCAATGCCATGGTTCTAGTTCTTCTAGATGGAGGAGGAAAAACAAGCAGTGGAAAGGACGGACGTAAATAGGGTGAGTGTGACAGTGTCTCACACGTTTTTCCCAATACCCCCCTATTCCCATGTCTCTCCGTCGTGTCTCCTCCTGACTCCTTTGCTAGCTAGATGAACAACCTTGATATTCTCTTCTCAAATCAATCATCCCACAGAGCAATATCCACTGCTTGATCTCGCATGACAAAATCGTTTCGTTCTGTCACCTTGTGTCTTCTCACTGTCTTACCTCTGACTACCTCTACCACGTCTCCTCACTGTCTGATCCAAAAAACAATGCCTCAGTGCTTCAACGACACAATGGTCCTACATAAAGCCATTCTTCTCCCCAATTCATCCCATCACGCAACACCAGCAATCTCCACCGTCGATCTCTACCAAAGCCAAACAATTTCCTTTGTTGTCTTCTACCGTCACTCGCTTTCAATTTCGATAAACTCAAGATGAATCACACCATCATGCTCCTGGTACTTTTGACAGCGCTGGTTGCCGTCGCCGCAACAGCAACATCAACGTCAACGGCAACAACATCGCCATCGCCACCGCCAAAGCCCGAATCTCACCCTACCAACTCTTCGGACTCTCAGACTCCCCGGAAATCCAACAACGTGGCAGAATCAGCATCGCGAGACTCCCAAGACAGATTCTACGAGCGTAACTGCCAAGGAGAAGCAGCCACGCATGTGGATTCAAGGATCCCGAGATGGCGACAAGACGGTTGTGGCGGTGTCGTGGAGCATGGACGATTCAAGTCCCGTCGTGTGTCGCTTCACATGCGCCTTGACCTGCTCCGCGCGGTGTGGACTTACGTGTGAAATGGCCTGTGAAGTGAATCAGCGACGATAGGACCGCTGATGGTGGCATTGTGCTTGGCTACGGAAGTGTACCATGCGCTTCCGACGGCCCCTGATCTGGCGGCTTTGATGAGACATATGAATCGACGAAGGATGTAATGACTGCACGATCACGGAGGGGGAGGCGAAAGGGAGAAAGACAGAAAGAAGCTAAAGCCATCTCATACCATGAGGTGGCTTAACACAAGAGGAAGGGGAGTGTGGGAGGGGAACGACATGGAAAGAGAGAGTGGCAGGAGAGACCTTCAGGCCAGCTTTCAGATACAGTCAGTCCTTTCTGATCTAGCATTTTCTGCGTGAAGGAAACCAGGCCTCTATAAGCACAAATCCACATCGTGAGCAAATGAAAGTGCATATCGTTTGCACTCTTGACCGCACGAATCCGTCGCCATGTCTTCCCCCCTGATTCACAATTCATCTTCCGCTGTCAAAGCACCGACAAGCAAACGCCAGCCATCCCAAAATACCAACCTGTTGCCATGTCTCTACACCGTCTCCCCCTGATCCATCCTCCACTATCCATTCCTTTCTCCTTCTTTCCCCTGCACGCACTTTCAGCCCGCACAAGGCCGAGTGCTCACAACATATAAAGCTCTCCCAGTCCCGGAGAAGCAGCATCAGCAGCAGTCAGCAATACTCCTCAAGCTCTACCTCGCTTCCAACCCTTCGCTCGGATCAATCAAAGTCACTCAAGCCATCACCACTGCCGCCGCTTCCGACTTCAACGAGTTCTTCCTTCGCAAGACCATCATGCACCTCCTGGCTCTTCTTCTTCTTCTTCTTCTTCTTCTTCTTCTTCTTCTTCTTCTTCTTCTTATTCTTCTTCTTCTTCTTCAATTCACTCGCCTGGTCACGGCGCTCGACCAGCCGCTATTCACGAACTCATCAACCCCCATGCTCGAAGTGCGCCACGATGTGTCGCTGGTGTGCAACACGACATGCAGCGTCGCCGGCGGTGCTGTTGAGGACGGTGGAGAGGGCAGGTGTAGCGCTTCTACAGTCACGAAAACCGTCACTGTGACTGCGACAGCAAGCGACACCACCACTCCCACAGCCACCGACGGCTGTCCGTGGCCCGTCGAAGCCTGGATCGGAGCGGATGACAACGGCCGCTGTCTCCGGTTCCCGACTGGGTTTAACCTGGACTTGTTGTCCGAGAATCAAGAGCGCAATTGCAGATCTGCATTCCGACAAGCCCTCGAAAATGTTTGCGGAGAGGAAGACTGGTGCAAGTATGAAATGGAGCAGCAGCAGATGTTGGTGGAGCAGCAGAAGAAGCGGGAGGAGGAGGAGAAGAAGTGGGAGGAGGAAGGGGGTGGATATGACTTGAAATATTCAGAGTGGGACTAGGAGGGCTGCTTCGATGCTCGCCATGAGCAGAATCCGGGGGCTACTGGCAAAGGCCATGGGACACGAAACTACGGCGGCTCCCTGCGACTCAACGAGTAGATGAAGTCTAGTCTCCAGTGCCGCAGGGGCTTTCATGCTCCCTAGACCATGCCTTTTCAAAAGTTTCAATGTCTCCATCATTGCTCTCTCTCTCTTGCGTATGCCGGACTTTTGCTTCCAAAATCACAAGATGAATTGACAGTGCAGTAATTAAAATTATCCATAGGAAAGTAATAAGTAGTTTGTGGTATTTAGGGTACTCTTTCCGGATGCATGCATCCATCCATGCTTCACTCCACATGGCCATATCCCTCCCATCCTGACAGCTGGCGGCAGCGAGCCGCCAGCGAACCCAGAGTACGAAAGAGATAAAAATAAGGAAAAGTTCGTCAAGGAAAACACTCGCGGGGAATCAAGGGGTAGTGCTAAAAACAATGAAAAAGGGGGGATCTACAATTCGTCATTCCAAAAAATTCGTGTCGTTTTGCAGACAAGACAGGCATCAACCAGCCGCTCTTTTCAAGGCACCGATGCTCTAAAACCGAATGTTGAATGTCTCTCGTGACGACTGGACACCGAAACGCTCAACTCCGCAAAGAAGATTTTGAAAGGCATTCATCATCTACTCGTCCTCGAAGAAGGACAGGATGGCCTTGACGCCCATGGGACCGAGGCCGTGAGGCGGGTAGCAGACGTAGACGGGGTCCTCGTGAGCGCCCAGCTTTTCGCGGAACTCGCTCTTGTTGGTGAGCTTGAGCTCCTGCGAGATGGCGTGGTAAGCCTTGCTCAGCACCTTGACGCGCGGCTTCTTCATGTTGTGGCCAGGCGTGAAGCGTGCCGAGGCACCGCCACCGAACGTGACGTTGGTCTCGCCCTGCGCGGCCAGCTGCTTGAGCGCGTGCGTAACAATGTACTCAATCGTACCACCGGGCGCGCCGGGGAAGTCAAGCGAGTACTTGACCTGCCAGCCGTGGTCGGGGCTAAGCTGCGCCATAGCAACGAAGGCGGCAATGGTGCCATCCTTGTCGACAGCATAGTGGTAGGCGCGGTGCTCAATGTCCTGCCATGGGTGGATGTCGGTCAAGTGAACCTGCTTGCCCTTGCGGTTTGCGAGCCAGTCCTTGACGCGGGCGTCAATCTTGTCGCGAACCTCCTGCGGGGGCGGGTTTCCAAGCGGGAAGTCATGGATCTTGACACCCTCCTTCTCGGCGTGGCGAATCTTGCGCTGCAAGTCGTGGTCGTGAGCGGCCGGGTTGTTGGTCGGGTCGAGACGCTGCTCGGCGGCGACGGAAAAGGTGCGCCAGTTGAAGCGCGTGGCGAGCACATCCTCGACGTCCGGGCCACACAGGAGCCACAGGGGCTTGAGGTTGCGGTCCTTCTTGATCCACCTGAGGTAGCCTGCAATGGTCTTGACGTACTGAGACTGGTGGCAGAGCGGGTCACCAATGGTGATGGCATAATCTCCCTGGGGCACGAAGCCAACGGCGGCTCCAGTGAGCTCGTCACGCCAGATTTGCGTACGCGGCTCCAGCCACGAAGTGTTGGAAGCGTCACCATAGTTGGCAATGAGCTTCTCAATGGGCTGGAAGTC